AACTACTAAACTAGTAGTTTACTGACACTATACTTCAAAGTCTACTAAAATGCTACTACAAGTATTTCATTAGTAAACTATCAGTATACCTATAAGTTCACTTTTAGTATAGTTGCAGTACAAGCTAAAAAAAAATTATGTAAACTAGTTGTGTACTCAAAGTTTACTACTGTTATACTTCAAGTAACTTAAAAGTATACTTTTATATACTAGAAAGTGGGCCAATTTTGTCCCAAGGAGTATTGAAATAGTACACTTACAAGTATACTACAAGTACACTGATATTTCCATACTTACTACATAAAGTATACTTAAAAATGTACCTTGTCCAAATACCCACACTTGCGGTCTTGGCCACTTGAGAGCGCTTGCGCGTGACAGGAAGTAAGTGCGCAAGACTGTCCCAGGTCTTAAAAAGGGCAAAGCGCAGTGCCCTTAACGCACACTAAATCCACACTATCTCGAATACCTCTCCGGAGCGCTATTCGATGATTAGTGTATCCCATCATGCATCATGTTCTGGAAATAAACAGTGAGACTTTTTGCCGAGATCTCGTGAGAGGTTACGGAAACCTTTCCAATGTAAGTTAAATATTAATATAATAATTAGATAAATAATTTGGTAGAAAAGCAGTGTTTTTACGTTTTATTGGTGAGTAGTGGGGAAATTTATTTTGTACAACATTTGCAACTGCTTTTTATCACTTAAAGGGGTCATATGACGTTGCTAAAAAGCACATTATTTTGTGTATTTGGTGTAATGAAATGTGTTTATTCGGTTTAAGGTTAAAAAAACACATTATTTTCCACATACTGTACATTATTGTTTCTCCTGCCCTGCCTTTATGAAACGAGTCAATTTTTACAAAGCTCATCGGTCTGAAAAGCGAGGTGTGCTCTGATTGGCCAGCTATCCAGTGCGTTGTGATTGGCTGAATACCTCAAGCGTGTGACAGAAATGTTACGCCCCTCACCATACTGTGATGCCCTGTCCAGCCGGAGCGATGAGACGAAAACATTAAAACCCATTATAAACGAGGCATTTGTTGCATCCAGTGGGGACATAATTACGGATTATAATGACTTATACTCTCTTTTTACGCGTTGCGTTGCATCGCGCCGCATGAACATAAAACCATGTCTGCATTTGTGATCGGAGAAATGACAAACAACAAGTGCTACTCTACACTGCTCAAAACTGGCGTTTGAATCATCAGTGGCAAATTCTTTAAATATGAAAACGTACTTACAGACTGTGAGTCAGAACAGCCGGCATTGTAGTCTACTCTACCAGGATCAGGAAACAGTCCTCCATAAAATGCACTGCACACATCTGAATATTTGGGTTGAAGTGTTCTGGAACAGTGTTGTAAATACAACTTAACCACTGATTTCTAGTCGTGTCCTCTTTTGGAAGACCAAACAAAGTATTTTCGCTTTCACAACGAGAGACACCGCGTCTTCACAACATGGCGGCGGCGGCAGCAACAATAAAGTTACGCCTTCTTTCTTTGCGTGAACATTTGGGCGGTGTTATGCAAATCTTCCCACATAGTGAGGTAGACATGTGGGGGCGTGTTTGAACGAGGCGTTTTAGGGGGGCGTGGATGAGTCTTAACTTTTATAAAGAATATCTCTTTGGGTTTGAGACTTTAGTCTTTGCAACTTCAGGGATCTTCTTTATGCACCAAGAGCTTGTAACACTCCAAAGAGAAAGGAAAATTTGAAATCGCATCATATGACCCCTTTAATTAGAAGCACCACAAATTAAAATTATGTCATGTTATAGTGACTACTGAACAGACAAAAGTTAGAAGTTGATTTTAAAAGGCAAAGTATTTAAAATGAAAATTAAGCTATGTAAACACTTGCATTTTTACAACACTATAAGTGTGTCCCATCAGGTAATGAAAAGTTCGACACACACTTGTGGTTTTCATCCTCACTTGAACACTTGGGCCAAATACAGGAAATACGTCATATAAGTTGTCAAGTGCAAAGTCCGCAAGTGTGGCATTGAACTTTACATAAGTATACTTAATAAAATAAACTTGAAGTATACTACTTTTTGGTAAGGGCATGCATTCAGACTGAGCTTTGCCAAAACACACCTTGAAGATTCTGAGGCAGATGAGACTAAAATTAAATTAGTAAAGACAATTACCAAAGAAAATTACTAAAGAAATATCTGCTGCCCTCTGCCAGAAAGCTGTCAATGGGAAAAAGGTTTACCTTCCAACATGACAATGACCCAAAGTACACAGCAAAACTAACCACACAGTGGCTGAAGGAGAAAAAGGTGAATGTTCTTGCATGGTCTAGTCAGAGCCCAGACTTAAACCCCACTGAAAATCTGTGCAATGACTTGAAGACTGCAGTCCACAAACACTCACCATCAAATGTAACTGAACTTGAGCAGTTCAGCAAAGAAGAGTGGGCAAATATTGCAAAGTCTTATCCCAACAGACTAAAGGCTGTAAATAAATACTGACAAAAAGGGGTGATTAATCCTTTTTCCAGCTCAGTGATTCTGTATTTTTTTTCTATATTTGTGATTCTTTTTCTGACATGTCAGTGTTATATCTTTCACTTGGATGTTTTAAGTTGCACTGAATAAATACAGCTGGATGTATCATATACAATATAAAAGTGATTTACACAAACCTGCCATATTCAGTTTCAACTATCCACTAAAGAGATTGTCCATTAAAACAGCAATATCCATACATTGTTCTTTTAAATTTGGCAAATGTGCTAATTTTCTCCACTGAGATTACTTGACCCTGATAATTTCCTCTTGCTGCTCTATTAAGATTATTATATTTAATAGTGTGACTGATGTAATGTTTTGCAGCATGTTTCTTCTTTGGTTTCAGGTCAAAAAGAGCAAAGACTGTTTGTTTGAACCACAAGTTCTTTATTTACATCTGCTGTAGGTGTTGTTCTGGGAAATTGGTCTGTGAATGTGCTGTGAATGCAATGCATTAGAAATTCAACAGGATATAAATATACATATACACACATGTATATTGCACATAAATGTGTGTGTGTGTGTGTGGCTGCATATATATATATATATATATGTATGTATATATGTATGTGTGTGTGTGTATACACATCACAGATGGAGCTAAAGAACATACATAGTATTGGAAATAATAATAGTAATACTGACCAGTCACATGAAAACGCTCTCAGGATTTGCTTCTGTAAGTTCAAGTGGTGCTACTTGTCAGCTAACTCAGCTTCGAGGCTCTATGCCCTTTGAAGATCAGGGTTTGGCGTCATGATCGTCTTCACAGGAAATCCTCTCCACAATGAATTATGGGCCAGCCCTGTGTGAGATGATGTACTGCTGTTAACGCGTCCCGTGAGGGTTTTGCCTTATTATTCGCTGCTCAAGTCCTCCGTTTTCAGACACCAATGAACATCACAGAAGGCCCTTGCTATCCAGCTGAGTGCAAAAAGTGTTAAATGTGAAAAATCAGTGCATTTCCAAACATTGTATCTCAAGTTTCCTGCAAGATGTGAAATGTACATTGACAGTTCTGCTGACGGTGTTTTCTTTTCACTGTCGTGACATGCGTTTATGGTGGCTGTTTTAACAGCTTGTGCAGATGTGCAAAGAGCAGGTGTGGCCCCTGAGTGCCTCGGCGGGCTTGTCATGGCTTCTTTTCTTATCAAGTTCTTGCTTATTCAGATGAGCAACTGCCACTTTGACTTCACTTTTTAATTTTGGTTTTTCTAGTTTAGTTCTATGTAAATTGCTATCTATCTATCTAGAGAGAGAGAGAGAGACTTACAAACAATACAATACTGTATATATCTCATTAAATGTAAAGTCACAAAAGTGTTTCAGCAAGCCCTGGTCTCACTTGAACTCCTATATTTCATAGAAGTGTGACCTATAAAACCATATAGGTCTGTGATTCACGTTAATTTGATCTAGGGATATGGCTGTTAAGCAACTGAACTTTTTAGCCACGCAAAGCTGTTGCTACAACGCCTTCCTTCCAGTCGCTTTGTTATGTGTAATAATGTGCAATATGAGCTTTCTGATGTGTTCGGTCGGAACAAAACTTTCCACAGGAAATCGCCCTTCGCTTGTTTCAATAATTGAGTCACTTTTAAATAGTTGTTGAGGTCCACTCTGCAGCCAAACCGGGAAATGGCCTAGCAGAGCTTTTTAACCCTTTAACTGTCACTCACATTTTTGAACATAGACGTGAAAGTGCACGATCCAAACGTACATTTTTATAATTCACGAACGAAAACATTTTGCAACATGATATCGATCAGTGCAGTGTTTGATTTTAAAATGGGTTTCAAAGGATGCATTTTGAGATTTAAAGTTTTCAATTGATATATCATTTCTGATGATTTCTAAAGTGTGACAGAGAAAAAGGCAACGAAGAAGACTTTTTTTGACGAAGGTCAGAACTCCTGTTACGATGAAGATTTTCGAGGTGCACTCTCGTCATAAATCAATCTATTACTTTTCCTACATAGATATTCTACCAATGTTTTTGGTAAAAATGATTTAGGAGTCTTAGACCTTTCCAATGATATATAGTTGGTCATGATTAGATTAGGATTTAATTGTAATACAGTGAAGTAAACTTAGGCGTCCCACAGAGGGGACGGGTGACAGTTAAAGGGTTAACAGTGTCTTTATTGTTTTTCACCAAACATATTTAAAATGTAAATGTCACATTAATATACGTCGCTACTTCCAGATGGCCAAACCAGAGAAGCACTGCACAACCTCCCATTGTTTTCTTTTGTCTGCGTACACTAATTAAAATCACCACAAAGCCTTTAACTTACTTTATTCCTCTCATTATCCAGCATAGCACGCAGCCTTTATGCGCTGCGGCACGCCTGCTTTACAGTTCGCTCAGCACAGCCAATCACCTACCGTCTGGCGCCCGGCGTCACGGGCAGGTGTGACCAATCAGAGGCGGCGGCTGTCTGCCACCGCCAAGCTTGTGTGCGGAGTTCAGCGGCAGTCAGGAAGTGAGCGCGGGGCAGAGCGGTTGCAGCGCTTTCGCTCTCAGACATCCACGAGCTGCTTGTGTTCCTCTCTGACCGAGCAGCTCGACCCAGTTCGGCCCGACATCCCAGGTAAGGTGCGTCCTGGAGACACATATTCAGGATAAGTTGCGAATGTGTGACTAAAAAGATGCTGAACTTGGAGAATATCATTAAGTGTGTTATTGGCATATTTTGACAGCGGCGTTTATTGCTTATGTGTCCTGCAAAGTACGTTTATTGTACACTTTTCATAATTAGGTTCGAGTACTTAACAGTTAACAACCCCCCAAAGCGTTGTCTTCTGATTGCAGCGTGTAGTTCGCTGTAAACCTTTATGTGAAGAAGTGTAATATCAACAAACAAGAGTTCCGTCCAGATTCGATAACGTCTCACGGCCCTAACGGTATTTATCCCCCTTAAAATGAGTTAATAAGTGATAACGGCGTCGTCTTCCCTTATTAACAACAGATAATAGCTCAAAAACGCCTGTGAAGTTTTGCAGATATTTGAAACTTAACCGTTATATTTCCGCTGCCCCGAGAACTCGGTCCTGCCGAGAGTATCGTCGCGTTTCGGGGAGAAGGGCTCTGTATTCTCTCGCGTTTTCTTCTAGCATCGTTTCAGATGAGGGTTTTGGGAATAATCAGGTAGGTTATTGTCTTGTGACTCATAAAACTTTTGCCTTGAGGCGAAAATGTCACTGAGCGTGTTTACCTCAGCTTGCGCGCGCAGTGTTTATATAGCTGTCAGTGTTGCGTGTTAAAGGGACAGTTCACCCAAAAATGTGTGACAATCCTGTCATCGTTTACTCGCCCTCCAGTAGTTCCAAACCCGTGTAAATGTCTTTGTCCCGCCGAACAGAACGGGAGATATTTTGAAGGAAGTTTGTAACCAGGCTGTTTTGGGGCACCCTTGACTTCCACAGTAGGAGAGAAAAATACTATGTAAGTCGATGGTGCCCCAGAACTGCTCTGTTTCCCACTTTCTTCAGAATATCTTCCTTTCTGTTCGGCGGGACAAAGACATTCATACGGGTTTGGAACTACTTGAGGGTGAGTAAACGATGACAGCATTTTCATTTTTGGGTGAACTGTCCCTTTAGCATGTGTTTATATGTAAAGCAATCAAATATAACAACAGTGCGGTGAGAATCTTATACATAACCTCTCAGAGAGAGTTTGAAGCCATGAAGAAGAGTACCAGGGTAAAGTGGGGGTGCCTGTCATCGTTTACTCGCCCTCCAGTAGTTCCAAACCCGTGTAAATGTCTTTGTCCCGCCGAACAGAACGGGAGATATTTTGAAGGAAGTTTGTAACCAGGCTGTTTTGGGGCACCCTTGACTTCCACAGTAGGAGAGAAAAATACTATGTAAGTCGATGGTGCCCCAGAACTGCTCTGTTTCCCACTTTCTTCAGAATATCTTCCTTTCTGTTCGGCGGGACAAAGACATTCATACGGGTTTGGAACTACTTGAGGGTGAGTAAACGATGACAGCATTTTCATTTTTGGGTGAACTGTCCCTTTAGCATGTGTTTATATGTAAAGCTATCAAATATAACAACAGTGCGGTGAGAATCTTATACATAACCTCTCAGAGAGAGTTTGAAGCCATGAAGAAGAGTACCAGGGTAAAGTGGGGGTGTCAGGCGGGCTTTACTATACTGTACTATGGTGCTGAGTGATTGGCGTAATGTTGTGCCATAGTCAATACCGTATTGTACTAAAAACCATGTTATTGATATGGTAAATGTCAAAAAACATACATTTGCCATCATGTTTAAAAAAAAAGTGGTGTTACCACGATACAGGTCCGAAAACACAATAGTGCAGTATGGTACTTTTGTTGCTTTTCTGAGAAAATTTTAATAGCGTCATCATATTTAGTTTGTCTGTTGAAATGTTTTGTCTGTGGTTTCTTTCCCTTTTGAGAAGCCCTGTTTTTGTGGTGCATTGCACCGTTTTGTGGAGAAACACCCGAGTCTTGTTATTGAGGCTTGTTCGCTAGGTTGTGAAGTAAACGTTCAAGGAAATACGCAAGAAGAGGCTTAAACAGAGCTGTGTTTGAGAGTGTGTTTAGTGCTTGGACAAGAAAGCTCTGGGGTGTGAGGTCATGGGGTTTTGTTGGCTTCGTGTACTGAGAGTGCAGGCCAGGCTGTGTCAGATTTGAAGCAGACATCTGTTGGTCTCGCACAAACGGTCTGGATATTTAATCCTTCAAGTGAAGAAGAGGAGGAGGAGGAGACCCCCAGCCCAGAGCTCGCAGCTTTTGTGACAGGTGTCCCCCTGCTATTCAGCACCTCAAACAACTTTTACTGTGTGTGTGTGTGTGTGTGTGTGTATGTGTTTATATGTAAAGCTATCAAATATAACAACAGTGCGGTGAGAATCTTATACATAACCTCTCAGAGAGAGTTTGAAGCCATGAAGAAGAGTACCAGGGTAAAGTGGGGGTGTCAGGCGGGCTTTACTATACTGTACTATGGTGCTGAGTGATTGGCGTAATGTTGTGCCATAGTCAATACCGTATTGTACTAAAAACCATGTTATTGATATGGTAAATGTCAAAAAACATACATTTGCCATCATGTTTAAAAAAAAAGTGGTGTTACCACGATACAGGTCCGAAAACACAATAGTGCAGTATGGTACTTTTGTTGCTTTTCTGAGAAAATTTTAATAGCGTCATCATATTTAGTTTGTCTGTTGAAATGTTTTGTCTGTGGTTTCTTTCCCTTTTGAGAAGCCCTGTTTTTGTGGTGCATTGCACCGTTTTGTGGAGAAACACCCGAGTCTTGTTATTGAGGCTTGTTCGCTAGGTTGTGAAGTAAACGTTCAAGGAAATACGCAAGAAGAGGCTTAAACAGAGCTGTGTTTGAGAGTGTGTTTAGTGCTTGGACAAGAAAGCTCTGGGGTGTGAGGTCATGGGGTTTTGTTGGCTTCGTGTACTGAGAGTGCAGGCCAGGCTGTGTCAGATTTGAAGCAGACATCTGTCCCTTTAGCATGTGTTTATATGTAAAGCAATCAAATATAACAACAGTGCGGTGAGAATCTTATACATAACCTCTCAGAGAGAGTTTGAAGCCATGAAGAAGAGTACCAGGGTAAAGTGGGGGTGTCAGGCGGGCTTTACTATACTGTACTATGGTGCTGAGTGATTGGCGTAATGTTGTGCCAAAGTCAATACCGTATTGTACTAAAAACCATGTTATTGATATGGTAAATGTCAAAAAACATACATTTGCCATCATGTTTAAAAAAAAAAGTGGTGTTACCACGATACAGGTCCGAAAACACAATAGTGAAGTATGGTACTTTTGTTGCTTTTCTGAGAAAATTTTAATAGCATCATCATATATCTTCCTTTCTGTTCGGCGGGACAAAGACATTCATACGGGTTTGGAACTACTTGAGGGTGAGTAAACGATGACAGCATTTTCATTTTTGGGTGAACTGTCCCTTTAGCATGTGTTTATATGTAAAGCTATCAAATATAACAACAGTGCGGTGAGAATCTTATACATAACCTCTCAGAGAGAGTTTGAAGCCATGAAGAAGAGTACCAGGGTAAAGTGGGGGTGTCAGGCGGGCTTTACTATACTGTACTATGGTGCTGAGTGATTGGCGTAATGTTGTGCCATAGTCAATACCGTATTGTACTAAAAACCATGTTATTGATATGGTAAATGTCAAAAAACATACATTTGCCATCATGTTTAAAAAAAAAAGTGGTGTTACCACGATACAGGTCCGAAAACACAATAGTGCAGTATGGTACTTTTGTTGCTTTTCTGAGAAAATTTTAATAGCATCATCATATTTAGTTTGTCTGTTGAAATGTTTTGTCTGTGGTTTCTTTCCCTTTTGAAAAGCCCTGTTTTTGTGGTGCATTGCACCGTTTTGTGGAGAAACACCCGAGTCTTGTTATTGAGGCTTGTTCGCTAGGTTGTGAAGTAAACGTTCAAGGAAATACGCAAGAAGAGGCTTAAACAGAGCTGTGTTTGAGAGTGTGTTTAGTGCTTGGACAAGAAAGCTCTGGGGTGTTTTGCACCTTGTGGCGTAACAACATAAGTGCACTGACTGACAGCCCGTCTAGAACGCGCAGGTGAAATATCAACAGAAAGACTCTTGTCCAGTCAGATTCGAGGATCAGAATTAACGGTTATACCTATAGGCTAACAATTAATAGCCCAACGATCTTATTGTCAGGTTTATGTTCTGTTATGTGGACCCTTATTTTGACATTCTCTACTTCACTTCCTGTTTCAATGCTCTATTTAGTTTCTGTTTCATTGGTTTCTGAATAGAACCACGTTACATCGTAACACACACACAGAGAGTTCACACACACACACACACACACACACACACATATATATATATATATATATATATATGTGTGTGTGTGTGTGTATGGCGATAATACTGCACTATTGCAGTGAATGGGTGCCATCAGAATGAGAGTCCAAACAGCTGATAAAAACATCACAATAATCCACAGCACTCCAGTCCATCAGTTAACATCTTGTGAAGAGAAAAGCTGCGTGTTTGTAAGAAACAAATCCATCATTAAGAAGTTTTTAATTACAAACCATCGCTTACAGCTATAATCCATAACGCTTCTTCCAGTGAAAAAGTCTATTCTCTGTTGTCCTCTCACATCAAAATCCACCCACATATTTGTTTTTAACTGGTTTAGCCTGTTGTTGCTTGTGAACGGTTCTTGATCTGTGTATATTTCTCTCCTGGTTCACTGGAGAAGGCAATAGTATGGAAAGAGTATTTTAGTCAGAAGCAGCGGTTTGAGTTTAAAAATGTTGTTTCTTACAAACACGCAGCTTTTGGCTTCTCAATATGTTAACTTATGGACTGGAGTGCTGTGGGTTACTTGTGGATTATTGTGATGTTTTTATCAGCTGTTTGGACTCAAACATCTAATTTTTTTATATTTTGATGTATTATTGGTATTGTAGCAATTCCTTTTGCCATTACAGCAGTAGGCCTGACAAAAACTGACCTTAGAGGAGGTTTACAGTGATGCTGTGCTGCTATCATGACCAGTTCATAAAACACCAGAGTGTGAAATCTAGCTC